TTACGAACAATAAGTTATTTGCATAAGTGTAAAATAATTTATCAGGATATAAAGGGTATAATAATTATAAAGTAATTTAATGCTAAAAATTAATTATACTTTAAGATTTAATCAATATTTTGTAAAACTTTATACTATATAATGACAAAAATTTTGCTAATGGACGAAGAAAAAGTACAACTTTGTGATTTTGGTGTCACTAGACAGTTGACTACCTTAAATACAAAATGCACTTAGTTTGTTGGTACACTATAAATATATATATAAATAAAATTATTTATTATAATTCTGAAATATATTAATAATGTATACTCCAACTTTAATTTAATTTAAAATTTTTTTTTTTTTATGATTAGATATTGGATAGCACCTGAAGTTATTACTGAAAGGGCTGCTTATGATACTAAGGTTAGGTTAATATATATATATATATTTATTGACTCTTATTATAGGTGAATTTTATATTTTCTTTTTAAACTTATCACAAAAATCAATTAAATTAGGCAGATATATGATCTTTAGGTATTACTATATACGAAATCATAACTGGTAACTCACCATATCATGACCAAAGCACAATGAGAGCTATTCAACTTATTCCTAAGAATAGGCCAGCTACACTTGAAAATCTTTATTCTCCACTGTTAAGAGTTTGTAGCTATTTGTCTTAATAAAATATCTGAAAACATATGCTATTAATGTTGTTTTAATTTTTTTTCATAGCTGTATATGACTAAGAATAATTAATCTCTTTATATATATATTTATAGTATCCAATAGCTAATAATTTAATAAAAACTAAATTCATAAAAAGTTCCTCAGAGAATTCTATTAGAAATATTACATTATCTCATTATGCAATTTAAACAATAGAAACAGGCAACCAGTTATCGTCAATTCTTTTCAGATCCATATGGAACTCCATTAAGATAATATATACCAGTACTTGTATTATTTTTATTTAATTAATATTATAGATAAATGACCAACCTTGATTTATTTAGTGAAAGTGACTCTTGTGGTCTTTCTGCTTCTCTTATTCTTCTGGCGATTATAGTAGTATATATTTTTTTTTTTGGTTCAAATTGGTCTTCTGTCAATTATAGCAGTCTTTTGGCTTCTCTTATAGTATTTCTACTTCTTTCATTTTTCTGGCAATTATGATAGTATATATATATATATTTTTTTTTTGAATTTTAGTTCTTACTGGTCTCTCTTCTGTCAATTATAGTAAATCTTTTAGCTTCTTTTGTGGTCTTTCTGCTTTCATTCTTCTGGTGATTATAGTGTTTTTTTTTTTTGACTTTCACATGGTTCTTTCTGAGTTTCATTAACCTTGTAACATATATATATTTTTTTTTTAATTTTTGGTTCTTGCTGTCTCTCTTATAGTCTTTGGAAGGATCTTTCTGGTTTTTCATATTTTTCTGGCGATTATAATATTTTTTTCTTTTTAAACTTTGTGGTATATATGTTTTTTTTTTTTTTTGAATCATTGGTTCTTATTGTTTTCTTGTAATTCTTTTTGGCATTTATAGTGAATCTTTTTGACCTCTCTTGTAGTTCCTCTGGCAATTATGGTAGATCTTTTCAATTTCTCTTGTAGTTTTTGCAGTG